AATCTTCCTTCAGCCGCCCCGACTTCGGCATCCGTCCAGCTTGCACGTTCTTGGTGTCACCTCTTCCAACATGGCGACCGACGAGTTAGGAGAATTTTACGTCAGATATTACGTCGGTCACAAGGGCAAGTTCGGCCATGAGTTTCTCGAGTTCGAGTTTAGACCAGATGGGAAGCTGCGATACGCGAATAACTCCAACTACAAGAAGGACACCATGATTCGAAAAGAAGTGTTTGTATCGGAAGCGGTCATGAAAGAGTGCAAACGGATTATCGCGGAGAGCGAGGTACGCTTTAGCTTCCCGCGTTTGCTGCGTCTCGTTCCAGCGGAGCACTTTAGAGTAGCCTTCGCGTTTAACGTTCGCCTTATTGATTCGCCGTTCGCCTTTGCGGCCAAGGGTGCAGGTGACGAAGGAAGATGACAGCAACTGGCCAGAGCCGGACAGAGTGGGTCGGCAAGAGCTGGAGATTGTCATGGGGAATGAGCACGTCTCGTTTCTTACTTCCAAGATCGGATCCCTAATTGACGTTCAGAGCAGCAAGGACCCAGAGGGCCTTAGGGTTTTCTACTATTTGGTGCAGGTACGCTCTTTAAAGCGTAATAGCAGTGGTTTCTTTGTTACGTTCTGTTTTGCTCCTTGCTCATGCCTCTGTCTCCGCTTCTCGTTTTGTGTGGCATTTCAGGATTTGAAGTGTCTAGTTTTCTCGCTAATAGGTCTTCATTTCAAGATCAAGCCAATTTAGCTGTAAGTTCAGTCCTTGGTATTATGGCCATGTTGAGAGTTGGGGTAGTTTTGCGCTCGTGTTTCTTTCCATTAGTGTGGAGTGTCGGAAGCTTTATTATGCTGTTAGGGTGGTCATCGACCTTCGCGCGTTCCCTGTTGTTTGTTGTGTCTCTCCATCCTCCAGGTATTTCATGGTCCGTTGTTTTTTCCTTCATTCCCAGCTGGTGTTTGAGGGTCTAACAGTTTTAGTAGCAGAACAGAGTCCTGAGGACTACACTCAACACCCATGATCCATCGCCAGTAGCAGGGCAAGCAGTCCTGAACCTGTGTTGTTGTGTAGTCCCAGTCACTTAGTTTTTTCCCTGAATCCATTCTCTGTCCACTACATCTGAAAGGCCCCCGTAACAGTACATACCGTACATACAATAGAATTGCAACTTCACGACCCTGAAGATGGCCGGGCATAGTACTTCCACACAATGCCATTGCGCAGATAATGCAGATTTGCTTGCTTCTTTTATGAGCACGAAAATATGATCCACCTGCATTGTAGTTCTCTCCTTATCAAAGTGCTAAATTAATCCACCTGTATGAGCAGTGAAAATATGATCCACCTGCATTGTATGGCTTCACTGAAGCACGCCACGGAATATTGGTCGTGTTAGTGTAATCTAGAGAGGGGCACTAAATTAATGACATATCACGTCAATCTTGTTTATACAATTTTACGTGAATGTGCTAACTTGAAGTAATACCACTTCCTCACTAACGTGGAAATTTATTCTGCCCGCCTCTGCGATCTTTCTCCCGCCCGAAAAGTGGGGCTGCTGGCTTTCTTTCGACCCTAGCCACGGCATGGAAGTGTGGTATGGTCTGTGTCAAAACGGGGTTCCTGCAAAAATTCCCGCGTTGCCCGGATCAGAGTAGACGTGGCAGTCACTGATACGGTACTCGTGTGGTGCGTGAAGCTCTGGAAGCTGTCAGAATGTGGCGCTTTGCATTTTTCCCGCGTGATTCGTATGTTCTTCGAGTACAGCACAGGTAACCTGTCCAATGACATTACTTCTGCTAGCTGCGAGAAATTCTTACCTCTCGCCTTACTTCGCAGCCATAGAGAGACTGTCCTTGCTCGCGGGAGATAGCTTCAGCATGCGAAGATACCGTGGCCACATCATTTTGTTACACGAGGCTGTTGCGCCTCGTCTTGATTGGCAGAGTACGGAGTTGAAGGCGCAAGAGCAAGACTACTCGATCCGAAGTGCTGCATGCGCATTGCGCAAGTCCCCGCCAACACAAAAACATCGCCTCGCCAGTAGCTGACATTGGCGACGCGCGGGAGACTCAAGAACTTCGCAAACTCGTGTTTTGCAGGGAGGGAAGGTCGCGGAGGGGCTCGCGACAGATGCCAAACACGTTCCAACGAGTGAGTGCGACGGGACGACGTGAACGAGGGGTCCATTTGTGTCAAGGGGCCAGATGGGCGACATCTCTATCGAACCGACAGTTGGCGCAAGCCGTCGCAGTCCATCAGACCCCATCGTACCCCTCCCCTGCGGCCTAATGATGCAAACAAGGTGGGCGACGAGGCGACCAAGCGACGACGCGCATGGAGGCTGACGAGGTATTTGAGACGAGCGATCTGCGGAGGGATGAACTATTCAAAAGCAAATCGGGTTCGTCAATTGTGAGCGCCGCTCATCATCAACCATCCATCGCCGATTCATCCTCGATTTCGATCTCTCCCACATCAGTTAGCGCAGACCAGAGCCGCCGCTTTCCCTCCATCCATCCTTCACTGTCTCTCCCCCACCAGCTCCTCCTCTCATCTCTCCAACCTCATCCCATCTCCATCTCCTCCCCCTCTCACTTTCCCTCACTTTCCCCTCGCTCCCTCGTTTCCTGCTTTGTCTTGGCTCGGCATCCCTGGTCCATCCCGCCTCTTCCCGCCATCGACATTGTCGGAGGGCGCATTAGCAACAGAGCGCTCTGAACTGCTTCGCGGTTTTAGTTCTTGCTTTGAGCAGCATCATTTGTGCTTTTCAATGCTCCTGGCCGTAGTTTTAGCTTGTGCTCTATCCATATCCTTTCTCGAACGTAACGGATCCGAACACTAGTTGAGCGTGTAGCCTTCGATCTCCGTACTTGTGCAGGCGCTTTAGCGGATTCGAACCGTCGTGAGTTTCGCGTGACTGGACGTGTGTTTTCTCCCATAGCCACTGTTTTTCTGGTGATTCGGAAGCCATGGGCAAAGGAGGATCCTTCGCCTTGCCGGATCAGCTTCAGGAAGTCAGCGCTTTCAAGTCGTTAGAAATAGACCCTAACAATCTCTGCGAGAGGCCGAGAATCCTCGATGTCCTCGCTACAATCTTGGAGCGGATCATGGCTGCAAACGAAGCGAGCAGCCAGTGCGCGAATCAGAAGCTGACCGTGTTCCACGGCCTGCAAGCACCCGGCATCGGCCTTGACAAGTACCTGGATAGGATCTTCAAGTACGCGAACTGCAGCTACTCGTGCTTCGTGGTGGCGTATATTTATGTCGACCGGATGATCGAGCGACAGCCGGACATGCTTCTGACGAACCTTAACATTCATCGACTGCTCGTCACCAGCGTCATGGTCGCCACCAAGTTCTTCGACGACGCGTGAGTAACTTTTTCTTTATTTTTTTCGCATGAACAACAGCTATTTTATTTGGTATAATAGTGTAACAACATTTAGTGTGGCTTCTAAACCGTTGACGAATGGTCTCGGTCAGATTCACATCAGTCAGTGGGATTTATAAGTGGTACAACAACTCAACCAGCACTATTCCGGATCATCCGTTCTATCCCCTAACAGATATTTCAACAACGCGTACTATGCCAAAGTCGGCGGCGTGACAACCGGCGAAATGAACCGGCTGGAGCTGGAGTTTCTCTTTCGCATCGACTTTCGCCTAAACATCACGTCGGACGATTTCGCGAGCTACTGCAAGCTGCTGGAAGGCGAGCTATGGCGGATGCAATACCCGATGGACGATTTTCTCCCGTCGCTCCCCGCGTTCGAAGCAGCCGAGTCAGATTCTGAGGAGTCTGCAACATCTGATGTCATAGATCCGGCGTCTGACCTTCTAGGTTCGGAAGGTTCGGCGTCCGAGCCTGCAGATTCAGACTCGGAAGGATCTGTATCTGATGTTGCTGAGCCTTCAGATTCTTACGTCGCAACTTCATCTGACGTGGCGGATAAGAATTTCTGCAGTAAGCGGCAAAAGCATTGCGTGGATGAAGAGTCGCCGGAGGAGCATGCGGGTGTGCAAACGGCGCATAGATCTCGGTGCTGTACGGATGCGGAATGAGCAACCAGCGACAGTGCTTTAGTTGTTTGTGCTTTCATCGACGGTGATTCGATCCTACGTGCCTTAGGGTATCGCTGCCATGAATCTGAGCGGTCTGCTTTACCACGACATGGCGGAACAAGCAGGCACAACGGGTCTCCTTACATACCCTAGAAGAAGGATGTTCATCAGACATCCTACAGATACATTTACGGAGGCACATGCGACCTTCTCGATGTTACTAACAGCCGCCGACTAACCCCACCTCCTTCATTCCATCTCCATTTCCGCCCTCCACCTCCTGATTCTTGGAGATATCGTCATACCCAGCCACTCCTAGGTGCTGCTAATCCCCTCGGGTCTCTTCTCATCCGGCCCCTATCCGGAACAGAATCCTCGCCATGATACTCACCACATATCTTTTGTCCACCGCCAGTACGCCCATTTCTCGGTCACGCTCCTGCCATGGTCGTCGCCCATTTCGCGCTTCAGGGGGGTGATGCCACCTCTCATACTTAGTTTCTTGTTGTTACATGGATTCTGTACAATATTAGGGCTGGTCTGCAAGTCTGCTTCTACTGACTTTTGTTTTGATGTAATAAGGTTGCTACCGTACCATAATGTGCTTCATTGTTTTACAGTTTCATGGGGATCAGCAGGTGGGATGGACTGATGCGTAGGAGTTGTTAAAGTTGGCATTCCTGTAATGTAAGATTCGCCATGTATTTTGCTGTGATGGATAACATTTTTGCTCTCAACAACAAACCAGAAACACATCCTGTTCCCAGATCCCAGTGTCTACAGCTTTGACAGCTGGACTGCATGGAAAAGGTCTAGGCATGGTCATTATAGAGATTTTGGGTAAGGTCTGACAGCTTTGTCACACAATGTTTCTTCAACACAAGCTCTAGGGATTGCAGCTCAAAAATACCCAGATTTTTCCAGGTGTGCACGAATCGATCCCTACTTTGGTTGAGCACGTGCATGCTGAAGCTCCTCTGTCTTCTCTTTGAGAGTTTCTCTCAGCGTTTGCACCTGAAACACAAGAAAGAGCTCAGGAAAAGAATGAATAAATATCAGAAGCTTAGAGAGCAACCCCCTAAAATTAAACCTTTCCATCAAATGTTGCTTTGCCTTTCTCTGACAGCCCACCTGTTGCTGCAGAGCTGTCAGTCGGGCCTTCCCCATTTGAACAATGTTCTTGGTTGTCATGCGCTCCCGTGCTCCTGTCACCCCAGCCTTGTACGCATCTTCAGCTTGCTTCAGCTCCTCTCTTACCCTCGCCTCTGCCCCCACCGCTGCTTCTCTTAAAGCCTTAGCTTCCTCTTTTGCAGAGACCAATGCCGCTGAAAGGGACGCCACCTCAGCTGCCCGCGTGTTTTGCTCCCGGCGCAGCTCCATCCGTGTGGCTGCCAGCTCAGCCTTGATTTTCGGCATCTTCTGCATCATCTCCGCCAGCTGTGCCGCCCGCTCCTGCTGCTGCCGCCCCTCCTCCACCATTCTCGTCTGAGCCTCTGCCAGCTCCTCGGTCAGCTGCTGAAAACTTTCCACGTTGACCGAATCCCGTTCCTTCCGGGCAGCCTCGAGAAGCTCCTCCAGCTCAGCAGCAAGGGCTTCGTTCTCCTCTGCTTCCTGATTGGTCCGATCCAGCTCAGCTTGGGACGATTCCAGGCTGGCACGGAGCTCCTCCAGGTAGGATTCGAGCTGCGCCACGCGGGAGGTGAGCTTCTGGGAATCTTCTGCAGTTGCTGCCATCTGCTGCTGGTATTGCTGGCGCTCCTGCTGGTACCTGGAATGGGGGAGAAGCAGAGAGAGATCATGAAAGGTAAATGAAGGAAGCAAGAGGCTCATGGTTGAGAAACAGGAAAGGACTGTGTCAAAAATACGAAGCAATGAGGTGGGCCCACGGGGTTGAAATGAATGAACGAACCTTAAAACTTAAGCGAATGAACTCAAGATTTCAATAATACATCAAGACTGAACCTCACAAGGAAGCCGTAAGATTGAAATGAATGAACATCACGACAGAATTTAAGGAACGTCAAGACTGCAATGAGCCTCAAGACTGAAAATACCCCCCGAGGAGAAGACAACTCACTCTAGTATGGCTGTTTGCAAGGCCCTCCTCTGCCGCTGATGCCTGGTGGGGTATGGGATGGTGCGGTATGGTACGGTACAGTACAGTAAGATAGGGTAGAGTGCGAGGTGAGTTGGTATGGTGCGGTGCCGTGCATGATGATATGCCCTGTTGGATGCTACTGTGTGTCATGGCATGGTGCTGTGTGTGCCATGCAGCATCTGTGCTGTCTGTCCATCATGGTGCCATCGCCAATCTATTGTGATCCGGCCAATGAATGACCCCGCTGCATCACGAAACACATTATGTGCGTGCAAGGCAGACATCATATGTTTTTGTTGACAGTCAATGAGCAATCAGGCCATGGGTGGTGAATCACATCACATCACAGCTACTTGTGCCTCTTGAGTCGAGTTGCAACCTAGGTGACTTTTGAGTCGACTCAAAAGTCACCTCGCAATCAGGCCAGAGTTGACTCAAAAGTCAATCAGGCCATGGGTGGTGAATCACAGGTACTTGTGCCTCTTGAGTGTGAATCAGTACTTGCAACCTCTCATCCAAATGTGAGTGTTCTGCTATGGTGACTGAATTTACCATTGTTATAAAGGACAGAAAAAGGAATAAAGAAAAGGGAAAGAACAGGACATCCTTGAACCAAGCACATGATCTAACACCTCCCCCCCCTCTCCTCCTCTCACCTTACCCCCCCTCGCCCTCTCACCTTCCCCCCATCCCCTCCTCTCACCTTCTCAACCTCGCGTTGTAGCCCCTTCTCCCTCGCTCTCTCCCTCTCCTCCTCGTTCCGCCTTCGCCTCTCCTCCACCTGCCTCCTCGCCGCCTCAACCCCAGCCTTCTCCCCTTCCACCCGAGCCAACTCATCCGCAACCCTCCTCCTCTCCTCCTCTATCTCCTTTGCTTCTTTCTCCATCTCCTCCCTCTCTGCCTGCAGCTTCCCCCTCTCTCTCTCCATCCTCGCCTTCTCCTCCTTCAAGGCTGCTTTCAGCTGCCAAATCTCCTTGGTCTTCTTCTGTTCCTCATCCATCACTTGTTCTGCAACCTCTTTGCCAGTGCCATGCCGCGGCGTAACTCCGCCGCTTCCTCCTGAGGGTGGCAAGGGCAATCGGGGATTCTAATGGGAAAGGGGAGGGGCGCAGCAGGTGAGCGCTTCTTTCAGAGTTGACTTTTGAGTCGACTCAAAAGTCAACCCGCTTCCTCCTGAGGGTGGCAAGGGCAATCGGGGATTCAAACGGGGAAAGGGAGGGGCGCAGCAGGTGAGCGCTGCTTTCAGCTGACGAATCTCCTTGGTCGTCTCCTGCTCCTCGTCCATCACTTGCTCCGCAACTTCCTTGGCAGTGCCATGCCATGCCTCGACGTAGTTCCGCCGCTTCTTCCTGTGGGTGGCAAGGGAAACCGGGGAAAGGTGAGGGTGGAAGCGCTCTGACTGCCGAATCTCCTTGGCCGTCTCTGCTCCTCGTCCATCACTTGCTCCGCCACCTACTAGGCCAGTGCCATGCCGCGGCGTAACTCCGCAGCTTCCTCCTGTGGGTGATGGGGGCGATAATTATTTAAAAAGGAAAAAGGTGAGGGGTGCGGTAGGTGAGGGTGGTGGCTGTGTGGCTGCAGCCAAACCACCATCACCTCCTGTTTGGCTGTTTGGCTGCAGAACCTCCCGAGTCTTCTTCTGCTCCTCATCCATCACCTGCTCTGCCACCTCCTTGGCCAAAGCCATGCCACGGCGTAGCATGAATAGCTGCTCCTAGGAGGTGGCACGGCTCCTAGCGAGAGGGAGCGAGAGGGAGCGAGAGGGAGCGAGAGGGAGCGAGAGGGAGCGAGAGGGAGCGAGAGGGAGCGAGAGGGAGCGAGAGGGAGCGAGAGGGAGCGAGAGGGAGCGAGAGGGAGCGAGAGGGAGCGAGAGGGAGCGAGAGGGAGCGAGAGGGAGCGAGAGGGAGCGAGAGGGAGCGAGAGGGAGCGAGAGGGAGCGAGAGGGAGCGAGAGGGAGCGAGAGGGAGCGAGAGGGAGCGAGAGGGAGCGAGAGGGAGCGAGAGGGAGCGAGAGGGAGCGAGAGGGAGCGAGAGGGAGCGAGAGGGAGCGAGAGGGAGCGAGAGGGAGCGAGAGGGAGCGAGAGGGAGCGAGAGGGAGCGAGAGGGAGCGAGAGGGAGCGAGAGGGAGCGAGAGGGAGCGAGAGGGAGCGAGAGGGAGCGAGAGGGAGCGAGAGGGAGCGAGAGGGAGCGAGAGGGAGCGAGAGGGAGCGAGAGGGAGCGAGAGGGAGCGAGAGGGAGCGAGAGGGAGCGAGAGGGAGCGAGAGGGAGCGAGAGGGAGCGAGAGGGAGCGAGAGGGAGCGAGAGGGAGCGAGAGGGAGCGAGAGGGAGCGAGAGGGAGCGAGAGGGAGCGAGAGGGAGCGAGAGGGAGCGAGAGGGAGCGAGAGGGAGCGAGAGGGAGCGAGAGGGAGCGAGAGGGAGCGAGAGGGAGCGAGAGGGAGCGAGAGGGAGCGAGAGGGAGCGAGAGGGAGCGAGAGGGAGCGAGAGGGAGCGAGAGGGAGCGAGAGGGAGCGAGAGGGAGCGAGAGGGAGCGAGAGGGAGCGAGAGGGAGCGAGAGGGAGCGAGAGGGAGCGAGAGGGAGCGAGAGGGAGCGAGAGGGAGCGAGAGGGAGCGAGAGGGAGCGAGAGGGAGCGAGAGGGAGCGAGAGGGAGCGAGAGGGAGCGAGAGGGAGCGAGAGGGAGCGAGAGGGAGCGAGAGGGAGCGAGAGGGAGCGAGAGGGAGCGAGAGGGAGCGAGAGGGAGCGAGAGGGAGCGAGAGGGAGCGAGAGGGAGCGAGAGGGAGCGAGAGGGAGCGAGAGGGAGCGAGAGGGAGCGAGAGGGAGCGAGAGGGAGCGAGAGGGAGCGAGAGGGAGCGAGAGGGAGCGAGAGGGAGCGAGAGGGAGCGAGAGGGAGCGAGAGGGAGCGAGAGGGAGCGAGAGGGAGCGAGAGGGAGCGAGAGGGAGCGAGAGGGAGCGAGAGGGAGCGAGAGGGAGCGAGAGGGAGCGAGAGGGAGCGAGAGGGAGCGAGAGGGAGCGAGAGGGAGCGAGAGGGAGCGAGAGGGAGCGAGAGGGAGCGAGAGGGAGCGAGAGGGAGCGAGAGGGAGCGAGAGGGAGCGAGAGGGAGCGAGAGGGAGCGAGAGGGAGCGAGAGGGAGCGAGAGGGAGCGAGAGGGAGCGAGAGGGAGCGAGAGGGAGCGAGAGGGAGCGAGAGGGAGCGAGAGGGAGCGAGAGGGAGCGAGAGGGAGCGAGAGGGAGCGAGAGGGAGCGAGAGGGAGCGAGAGGGAGCGAGAGGGAGCGAGAGGGAGCGAGAGGGAGCGAGAGGGAGCGAGAGGGAGCGAGAGGGAGCGAGAGGGAGCGAGAGGGAGCGAGAGGGAGCGAGAGGGAGCGAGAGGGAGCGAGAGGGAGCGAGAGGGAGCGAGAGGGAGCGAGAGGGAGCGAGAGGGAGCGAGAGGGAGCGAGAGGGAGCGAGAGGGAGCGAGAGGGAGCGAGAGGGAGCGAGAGGGAGCGAGAGGGAGCGAGAGGGAGCGAGAGGGAGCGAGAGGGAGCGAGAGGGAGCGAGAGGGAGCGAGAGGGAGCGAGAGGGAGCGAGAGGGAGCGAGAGGGAGCGAGAGGGAGCGAGAGGGAGCGAGAGGGAGCGAGAGGGAGCGAGAGGGAGCGAGAGGGAGCGAGAGGGAGCGAGAGGGAGCGAGAGGGAGCGAGAGGGAGCGAGAGGGAGCGAGAGGGAGCGAGAGGGAGCGAGAGGGAGCGAGAGGGAGCGAGAGGGAGCGAGAGGGAGCGAGAGGGAGCGAGAGGGAGCGAGAGGGAGCGAGAGGGAGCGAGAGGGAGCGAGAGGGAGCGAGAGGGAGCGAGAGGGAGCGAGAGGGAGCGAGAGGGAGCGAGAGGGAGCGAGAGGGAGCGAGAGGGAGCGAGAGGGAGCGAGAGGGAGCGAGAGGGAGCGAGAGGGAGCGAGAGGGAGCGAGAGGGAGCGAGAGGAGCGGAGAGGGAGCGAGAGGGAGCGAGAGGGAGCGAGAGGGAGCGAGAGGGAGCGAGAGGGAGCGAGAGGGAGCGAGAGGGAGCGAGAGGGAGCGAGAGGGAGCGAGAGGGAGCGAGAGGGAGCGAGAGGGAGCGAGAGGGAGCGAGAGGGAGCGAGAGGGAGCGAGAGGGAGCGAGAGGGAGCGAGAGGGAGCGAGAGGGAGCGAGAGGGAGCGAGAGGGAGCGAGAGGGAGCGAGAGGGAGCGAGAGGGAGCGAGAGGGAGCGAGAGGGAGCGAGAGGGAGCGAGAGGGAGCGAGAGGGAGGGACGAGAGGGAGGCGAGGAGGGAGCGAGAGGGAGCGAGAGGGAGCGAGAGGGAGCGAGAGGGAGCGAGAGGGAGCGAGAGGGAGCGAGAGGGAGCGAGAGGGAGCGAGAGGGAGCGAGAGGGAGCGAGAGGGAGCGAGAGGGAGCGAGAGGGAGCGAGAGGGAGCGAGAGGGAGCGAGAGGGAGCGAGAGGGAGCGAGAGGGAGCGAGAGGGAGCGAGAGGGAGCGAGAGGGAGCGAGAGGGAGCGAGAGGGAGCGAGAGGGAGCGAGAGGGAGCGAGAGGGAGCGAGAGGGAGCGAGAGGGAGCGAGAGGGAGCGAGAGGGAGCGAGAGGGAGCGAGAGGGAGCGAGAGGGAGCGAGAGGGAGCGAGAGGGAGCGAGAGGGAGCGAGAGGGAGCGAGAGGGAGCGAGAGGGAGCGAGAGGGAGCGAGAGGGAGCGAGAGGGAGCGAGAGGGAGCGAGAGGGAGCGAGAGGGAGCGAGAGGGAGCGAGAGGGAGCGAGAGGGAGCGAGAGGGAGCGAGAGGGAGCGAGAGGGAGCGAGAGGGAGCGAGAGGGAGCGAGAGGGAGCGAGAGGGAGCGAGAGGGAGCGAGAGGGAGCGAGAGGGAGCGAGAGGGAGCGAGAGGGAGCGAGAGGGAGCGAGAGGGAGCGAGAGGGAGCGAGAGGGAGCGAGAGGGAGCGAGAGGGAGCGAGAGGGAGCGAGAGGGAGCGAGAGGGAGCGAGAGGGAGCGAGAGGGAGCGAGAGGGAGCGAGAGGGAGCGAGAGGGAGCGAGAGGGAGCGAGAGGGAGCGAGAGGGAGCGAGAGGGAGCGAGAGGGAGCGAGAGGGAGCGAGAGGGAGCGAGAGGGAGCGAGAGGGAGCGAGAGGGAGCGAGAGGGAGCGAGAGGGAGCGAGAGGGAGCGAGAGGGAGCGAGAGGGAGCGAGAGGGAGCGAGAGGGAGCGAGAGGGAGCGAGAGGGAGCGAGAGGGAGCGAGAGGGAGCGAGAGGGAGCGAGAGGGAGCGAGAGGGAGCGAGAGGGAGCGAGAGGGAGCGAGAGGGAGCGAGAGGGAGCGAGAGGGAGCGAGAGGGAGCGAGAGGGAGCGAGAGGGAGCGAGAGGGAGCGAGAGGGAGCGAGAGGGAGCGAGAGGGAGCGAGAGGGAGCGAGAGGGAGCGAGAGGGAGCGAGAGGGAGCGAGAGGGAGCGAGAGGGAGCGAGAGGGAGCGAGAGGGAGCGAGAGGGAGCGAGAGGGAGCGAGAGGGAGCGAGAGGGAGCGAGAGGGAGCGAGAGGGAGCGAGAGGGAGCGAGAGGGAGCGAGAGGGAGCGAGAGGGAGCGAGAGGGAGCGAGAGGGAGCGAGAGGGAGCGAGAGGGAGCGAGAGGGAGCGAGAGGGAGCGAGAGGGAGCGAGAGGGAGCGAGAGGGAGCGAGAGGGAGCGAGAGGGAGCGAGAGGGAGCGAGAGGGAGCGAGAGGGAGCGAGAGGGAGCGAGAGGGAGCGAGAGGGAGCGAGAGGGAGCGAGAGGGAGCGAGAGGGAGCGAGAGGGAGCGAGAGGGAGCGAGAGGGAGCGAGAGGGAGCGAGAGGGAGCGAGAGGGAGCGAGAGGGAGCGAGAGGGAGCGAGAGGGAGCGAGAGGGAGCGAGAGGGAGCGAGAGGGAGCGAGAGGGAGCGAGAGGGAGCGAGAGGGAGCGAGAGGGAGCGAGAGGGAGCGAGAGGGAGCGAGAGGGAGCGAGAGGGAGCGAGAGGGAGCGAGAGGGAGCGAGAGGGAGCGAGAGGGAGCGAGAGGG